AATTTTTTGGTTCTAATCACATTTCAATTAAACTTGGTACATAGAGTTTTTGTTACATTGCGCAGACCTCATTAGTTTTACAATCAAATCTGTTCATGTTAATTTTCTGATTTGCATAATTAGTTTTCAGCTAAGTAATTTCAAATTATATTTAATGTGTCTCCAATACTCTCAGCACATGGGAGTTCTTTCTAAGCTTTCTTTGATTATTTGTGCAAACCAAAACGAGGGGCGTACCATATTTGCTCTATTAGCAGGACATGCATTTATGTAAATTACAGAGGTGTTTCCAAATGTATAGTCAAAATAAGTATTATTTTAATGATTCAGTATAAACTGATGTGATTTTCAGTTGATATACAAATACAGTTTGGACCAGATTACTCACAATGCACATTGACAATCTGGGATGGAATTGATAGATAAAACTAGTATTTTATGTTTTAGTATTTTCTGAACAGTGATTAACAGAATATAGCGAATTGCTCAGTATAATGAGCCCACTCTCATCTGTATAACTAGCACGACATTAACTAACTTGCGTTATTATTCCAAGTGATGGGTGGAAATAATTGATGCACAATTTGTTTTCGAATAGGCTGACTATTCTGAAGTGTCAGTGTCTGCATCTAAGACAAGAGAGAATAAAATACAAATTGTATGTATAGACAAATCTGCTGGACAAACAGCTATTGCTATGGCAACAGATCTTGATCAGTTCATTATTGACAGTAAGTGTGTTCATTTTGCTATTGTGTTCGTTCAACTCAACATTACGCCGAAAAAGGGCTTGGCAGTATTTAGTATATCCAGTTTGTGTTTTCTTGCATCCTTGATTCCAAAGCAGTTAATCACAGTTACTTTATATGGCTAAAAGACAAAATACCTTATACATGTAGTTTGATATTAATAGTAATGTGAATGAAACCTCAATGTATCTATGGCTGTAGTAGTGTTTGGTGAATCATTTTCAGAAAGTCACAGTCTAAGCAATATTGTACAGGCACCATGTGTGACAATGCCAACCGTTGATACTGTATTTGCTTTATTAGTAGTGCATGCACTTAGGGGTGATCTCATATTCAAACATGCGGGTCAAACCTTCGAAAACCCAAACCGCCCTAAACCGCCCGAACAAAACCCAGTTTTGCGGTTTGGAAGTTTAAACAATAGACAGTGCAGTTCAGGACGACCGCATGAATTTGCATAAAAACTGCGGTTAAAACCGATCTCATTCACACCTCATTCAAGCTGTTGTTTATTTTTAGGATTGACAGAGTTTACATTGCTTTTTGAAGACTAGATAGCTGTCTCTCAAATGTGTTGATTTATTGGTATACAGTAGTCATTTTACCGTGTGCCTTGCCTAAAAAAACACTCTTTTACACATCGGTGAACAGCGTGTTGAATAAATTGTTTTGTTTTGATAAACTGTTATGCTCGAGTCGCAAATTGAGCAGAGGACATGAATCAGACTTTTCATTGGGCTAGACAATTGATATGTGTCTCTGACAGCTAATAAGTATCAAAAGACGAACATTTGTTGAT